GTCTCAGCCCTAGGTGGTGTGGTTCTTTACAGATAATGGTTTCACCATTTTGAAATTGTTTGTCTAAAAATTTCAGGATTTCACATTCTTGTGTAAGAACTCGCAACTCCTAAATAGGCAGAACTACTAAAAAATCTGTGCAGAAGATTAATCTATCATGTCCTGATAGTTGAGCTTTGAAAGCATATCAGAACAGTTATATACTTGGCATCAGATTCTCAAAATGAACCACTAAAACCATGCAGTGACCTATTCAAAGTCCACCCTGCTTTCAGGTCCTGATTCATCTAGGCACTGGTAGGGTTTTGGCTGTATGCAGAACTGTGTTCCTAGTGCAGATCTCAAAGGATATCTGTTTCCAGTGTTAGCAGTAAGGCGGAGTCCACTTACTGTGATCACCTGTATACACAGTTTTGAAGACTTTTTTTTCTTTTTTTTTTCTTTTTTTTTTTAAAATAAAGAATCGAAGATTTCTTCCCACGTCCAAGACTGCTGTATTTTGGGCTTGGGCAACACATCTAACCTTCCAGACAGCAACTAGTCTTTGCTGCAACCAGTAGTGACTCTGAGTGGCATATGCAAACTTGTTGCAAAGCGTGTCCCCTTGATACATCAGAAGTTTCCAGATTTTTTTGACAACATCAACTGTGTCACCTAGACCTCATTTTAGGTTTGTTGTGCATCCCATTAAAAAAAAAAAAGTGGTGGTCCCATTCTTAAAGTATATCATAAAACACATTTATGCATGTACTTAGTATTCCATTTAAATTATTTTACCAATAATTCCTCTTATAAAATTACTTTATCAGCAAGGCATTTGGTCTGATAATACGATTCTAACCTTCCATAGAAGACTTTCTATTTCTACCCAATAATCATGAAAAAGGAAATTAATTAGACTCTTAAAACCCAAAGGACTTAAATGCCATTAGTACTTCCATGATCACCACTAAATTCAGGAAATGCAAAGTAAAGCACTAACTGCAAATGCAGGTTTTACAATTTTCTTCAAAATCACAGCAGAGATGTCAATGTCCTGTGCAAATCATTCTTTTAAATATCTTGCTGCTTGCTGATTACTGCCACAACCTTATCATGATTCAACATTCCTTTATTTGTATCAGTCATTTACAATAAGAGGACAGACAGGATTATTTATCAGATTGTCATTTTGGCAAGGTATGTTCACAATGTATGCCCAAACCTGATGGTGTGGAGTAACTCACTTGTCTAACAGATCACATTTAACAACCATAAAGATGACTAAGCACTACCTTTAACAACTGTGTTCTAATATGCATACTTGCTCAGGTACCATAAATACATGGTTGTTCCTTTATTATTCAGTGCGTTGCTCATGTTGAAATCCTGAGTTCCACCAGGAATATTGATGGGCAGCCGAACAGCTGGCCTTCCCTTCAGGTCCCTCTGATTTTTCATCACAGGAGTTGTATGAATGGTAGATTCCCAACACCACAGCAAAAATGATTATCGCAGCCACTACAAGCCATACCACATTCCAGTGTTTACACAGTTTGGGGTACAGTATATGTAAATAATTAATGATGACTTCAAGTCTGCTGTAAAATTAAAAGAAAACTGTTATATATTAATCATATGCAAATTTATTATCTTAAGCTTTTCAATTAGAGAAGTTTCATAGATATATGGTGCACCACCTTTCTTCCAAATAAGAACACCCTGTCAAAGAAGAATCAGACTGTTAAGTTCTTTTAAGAAGAGCTGTACACTCAGATATGGGTCAAATTTGCAAGATGGCTGAAGACCGTAAACTTGACTTCTATTTCTCCCACCTGTCAACTGGCAAATCTCAGAGCTTGATGTAATGTGAAATTCTGCACTGTTCATAGCTTGCTCAACTAAACTAAGCATTAGAACACGTTGTAGACATTTCTTTCTAAGAGTTTCATGACTAGGGAGATGGCTGTCCTTCTGTACACGGCTGAAATCTCAAATTAACAGATGTTTATAACCATAATGGTTACGGAATGGCAATGAATTCTTCTGGATAAGGATTCCTACCTTAGCTTGTGATGAGACATATTACTTGCTTTGGCCAGCATTAAATTCCTCTCTAATGCAAAAGTCTCTTTGCTTCTAAAATGCAGGAAATTGCAGGTATATTCAATTGGGTGGTAGAACCACCGAGGAGACTCAATAACCAACTCTAAGAAAAGTTGAAAATTTCAGAAAAGTTTTCCAGTTAGGCATTAAAGGCATCAGGTAAAACAATAAGCAGAGGATTCAAAAGTCCCCAGTATAGACAAAGAGCATTGGGTGTGGATGAATGCAATAAACATGTCACTCTGCTGAAAGGCAGGAACTCCAGCATAGTGCTGTTCTGCTGCGTCTACACAGCTTCCAGAGAAAGTAGGCACCTGCCTGTTCAAGTCAGAGCAAATCCAACATAGCTGAGGAGCGTGTCTTAATCCGCATTCATCTTGTAGATGTACTGCAAGACTCACCTGGGAGGACCCTTTGGGAATGACACATGGCACAAATACGGGCATCAGATTCCTGAATAACAACTTTCATGAGACAATGCATGCCTACTGAGACATACATTCTGGTATCTGAAGAACTTTTGTGGAATATTTTTTACTTCAAATCAAAACCAAACCCCATCAAGATGAAGCATCTTGATGCCAACATACAATTTTAGTTGAAATATCAAAATAAAAAGTTTTTCAACTATGTTATCTTGGAATATGCCTTCCTGTGAAAATACTGTTATTTTAAATATGCTTCCCTAAACTGGAAGAAAACATGTCAAGATAACAGTATAAAACACTTGGTTGGGTACCACAAATAGAAAAAGTGGCTCCTCTTGTATGGACGTATCACACCACTGTCTCACCTGCTTTTCAGGTTTTTTATCTCATCTTCATTTTCACTTTCTTCATGTTCATCATGACTTTCTTTTGGTGTCTCTTCATCTTCTTCCTTCAGTTCCTGAAGTTCTTTGGTTTTCTTCAAGCCTTCCTGATAGCTTTAACAGACAAAACATTTTTCTTAATCTAGCATGCTGTATAAGCCTGATCCTGTGTAATGAAAAATTAGGTTTTTATGTTACAGGCAATAAGACACAAGTAGCAGTGTTGCAGCACTCAGACAAGAGTAAAAACTAGCTAAAGAACATGAGTATGGCACACAGACAGCCACCCTCCCTTAACAGAGGATTTTATTAGCTCTGTTACCAAATTTATCATCTTGAAAAAGAAAAAGAGGTGTTACAGTCCTCAGCAGAGCACAACTTTTGTCTATTGTAAAGGAGGTGGTAAGTACTTCTCTATTATTTTTCAATCCTTTTGAACACGCTTTAGATATTTTATTTTCCTGAAGAGTAAGTGCAAATCAATGCTAAAGATAGATGGCTTGTTGGATTTTGGATTCTGTGGGAAAGGATCAAAATTTTTGTCTCAGTCTTCACATAATTCAACATACTTTGCTTGACATTCAGAAACAGATCCCAAAGCTGTTAATAGACCCAAAACATGCCATGTAAAGCACTTTGTGACATTAACGACATCAGTTTACTGCAAAAGTGGATACCTACTCTTTACTCATTTCCATCTAAACTTTTCAGAATAAACACTTTAGAAAGCTGTTTTGAATTATCCTATCGTGAAGCTGAACACTATTGATGTAAGAACACCACTCAACTCAGAATCTCTGATATAACTGCTCTCCCACAGTTTGGCTAACACTAATAAAGGACAAAAGTGAACAGCTATGATGCAAATACAATGAGCGAAGCTCACTCACAATGCTTCCCACATTGCTTCAATTATGACCATCTTGTAGGAGCTTATATCAATTATGTCACTAATTTTGCATTTAAAATTACATTGTGAAAACATATGTCCTCATCTGGTAGCACATATTCACAGATTTAGTTCACATAAAATATTCCCACCCTTTGTTATATGCTTCCTCTTCTATCTTGGCCTTAGTTTCAGGACTGATTTCTTCCAACCCGCTCTGTGTCAGCACAGAAGTAGAGGTTTCACAGTCAGGCTCAGTCTTACCACTGCCAAGACAAAAGAAACAGGCAAATAGCAAATAACACCACTGAAATGTCCCATTTAAACTTCTAGAATCTAACCCTTTTTGTAGGCCTTATTTTTCTTGCACTAAAATCAGTGGCAGAATAATCCATCCTGATTGACACCATCTGTGGGCAATGGATTTTCTCTCAGGAAGTCATATTAACAGTAGACATTATTTTCACTTGGACTTCAAACACATCATGAATATAAGCTTGAAGTGCTTAAATATACAAAACTCTGCTGAACTAGGTAATCTTACACTACTATAGTAGCTGTCCCATGCATACATACTTACACTCAAACTTGATTTTCAAGTTCTACTTCTGTTACTTCTTGTAGAACAGCTTGAGTGTGCCTTCTGTTCTCATCCCAGTCTCACATCTTTTCATATCGCCCATCTTTCTGTTCTATTACTACAGAAACTTTACATTTCAAGAACTTCTATAAAATTAAATTACGTGTCTGTTGAAGGCAGGCTTACTCAAATGTGTAAATGTATAATCTACTGCTGCAGTTTTACTTGAGTTCTAATGATCATAGCAGGCTCAATTTAGTTCTGATACTGCTTGTAAACTCTTCGAATGTGAAAAGAACAATATGAAGGTGACATAGTAAAATACAGTTACCAGACTGTGAATCAACCTAAGTCAATATTGTGTCACTGTTTTCAATACCTTATGCTTTGGTATAACTTCTGTCAGGAAAGACAGAAATGATATCATTTTCATTTCATACCTGGATTTAATAGGTAATGAGATGACCTAGAGAACTCACTTTTCTAAAAGTGCTGGCAGAACAGGAGTAGATGTTAGATTGCTCTTTCCATTACTAGGTGATTCAGACTGTAAGTGAAAAACAGCAATAAATGTTACATCCATGATTAATTTCAAATGAGTCTTCAGTAAAATGACAAAGTCAACGTGCTGCTTAGGTTTTCTTCCCACACCCATGAGCAAGGTATCTTTAACATGGAGCTTCCAAATTACTCCTACTAACCACAGTAAACAATGGACTTGCACACTAAGCAGAATTTTCTGCGACATTCCCTTCTATCCTGCTTATTTTTTCCAAGAAGAGTCTTTCTTCATATATTGATCGCTGAACAATAAAATTGCTCTATTGCTTCTCTCCATATTATCCTAGAAACATTAATTTGTTAATTAAGTTTTCAATGGAAAATTGTAAACAAAAATAAATTATAATAAACCATGGTAAATAACCACAGTTGGTTCCTGAAACAATTGACTCTGAGTACCTAATAACTAAATTGCACAAACAGATTGTCTCCTTAACACTAAAATGGACTTAGCTTCTCAGCTTATTTAAATAGCCCTACATTTTTAACAGAAAACTGCATAACTTTCAGGTTATGTGCCACCTTAGCTCATCTCTGGACCATCGGTATGCCTTGCAGTTTTCCTCCAAAGTATTTCTATAGATTTATTAGGTTCAGATTAGATTCTCATTTTATTTCTTAAAATTTTATAAACAAAAGTCAAGGCAAAGGGCTGATAGCTCCACTAATCTCACATCATCACAGAACTTCTAGATTTGTACCACATACATTTCTGTACATAAATGATATGCTTTTCTGTTTAGCGGACTTCTTGGCAATGAGGAGAAGCAATCCAATCATCTATCGATTCTAGTTAAAACTTCTCTCCTGCAGTGGACAACTATTTTTAATACTTCTTTCCAGTGTGTTACTACTGGTTAAAGGCAAATTGCCTAAACTAATGTCCAATGGCTCTGAATCACCAGCTAGCCCTATTCAGCTCTGTGTCCAAAGTGATCATTTATGGAGATAGATTCTGAAGGCATATGTCCCTTACACAACAGGAATTACCTTTGTCCATCCTTTTCACTAGGATGGAGTCAAAATAAATGAAACCAATGAAGGAGCTTACATTTTTTAGTAACTATGCCTTGGTCCTATGCAAAAGTGGTTTAGGCAAAAAGTTGTATCTTTAAACTGTGGCTTTCACTTACCAGGGAAGGCATTGAAGGTATGGGTGAAGCTGTTGGTGACTGACCAGGAATATTTAAGGAGTTAAATTTAGGAACAACAGCAACACTGACTCTCCTCCGAGGCATATTCTGTGACAAATAACATTTTTTTTTATATTATTATACAACAAGATAGGCTGAAGAACAATTCTATAAGTTAATAGGTGTGGCAAAGATGGGGGAAAGGAAAGTTGGGAGCAAAATTAAGATAAATGGCTGTTAGAGCTGTGGTTTTCCCCAAAACTTCCTCTAATACTGTCTGGTATGGCAAGTGCTTAGTGTGAAATGAGGTGGTGTACTGGGATGCTACACTTTTCTCTCCACAATGAAAGCCCAATACTGTAAGCCACGCAACAGATATGTTCTGAGCTGTTATTGTCAGTTCTTATTAGAGGCTATTATATTGGTTAAACCAGATGTATAATGATACTGGGAAAAGTGCCAGTGTCACAATGACTGGCAAATAATGAAGTTACACACGAAACTCTTCTCCTGCTATGTACCCATTATGATATACTGAACCCACTATGACATATTAATTATCTCTAAACCTACAAATGATAACTAACAGAAACAATAATATCCATTCCCTCTGTGAAAGAACAGAGCCTTCTCCACCATCCTTGAATTGTTAGACATCTATTTAGCATCATGTGACATTGCTTACATTTTCCAAAGACCATGGAAATTTTTTATATGATAAACACATGCTAGCTTTACACAATATATTCTAGCTCAAGTATAGATCATATAAGGTTTTGCTGTCATTAGGTAAGTAGCCAAATACTTCATCCTATGACATACATCTAGGGAAATCCACTGAGTAAAAAAATCCAAGCACATATAGCATCTAACAGCTTCAACTTCGTGCACATGCAAACACTTCTAAGAGTCTGCTCTAGGTAACTTTACAGGAAAGTAGTTAAACACAGATTTACTAAATATATAGAAGGAGTCACCTACTCTATGATCGTGGTTCTAGACAAAAGCAACTATAGTTATTCATTAATGACAGAGGTTTATCTAATGTCCTCCAGAAAAACTATACTGGACAGTCTGCAGCCATGTTAGGCAGGCCATTCTAGTGTGTTTTGGTTTGGTTTGGTTTGGGTTTTTTTCCCCCTTCTTTATTATTTGGACTTGCAATTTTCCTAGTTAAATTTCATCTTTTTTTTGCGACCTCTGTTTCAACTTCTCTGGTTCTCATTCTGACATCCAGTCTTGACCTCAGCACGCTCTGTACTCTAATTCTTTCTATCCAGCACTCAGAGGTAGCAGGAACAAACTAAACCTAAAGAACTACAACCCAAGCAAATAAAAATACAGAAAGAAATAATAGAAAGAATATAATGCCTTTGACCACCAAATTTCATAATGGTTACATTGGGACCCGGCTGTCTCAAATCACTGGCTGTTTTAGGAAGTTTTGTAATAAACTTGATCTCCAACACTTGGAAGTTTTGCAGAAATGGAACACTGGCCATGTTAAACTTATTAATTGGTCAGGCCAAAACAATCTGAAATAATCTCTCATGCTGAATGCTTTGTCAAACCAAACAAGAAAAATGACCCCCACTTAAAAATAACTATTTACATCTAAGCTACTCTGAACATGATATAATTCTTAAGATAACAAAAATGGTATGATCATGGAATCCTGAATCATATAGTAAGTTTTGATCCAATGTTCAGCTTCCTCACTGAGGAACCAGAATACAACATAGGACCTAAGCCACTCTCTGGAGCACAGGTATGTGGCCTGGAATACAATTATTCTTAAATAAATACGTCCTTTTATTATTTATAGCTTCACAGCAAGCATTATCATTATTGCACAAAGTCATACTTCATCATGTATCCAAACTTACAAAGCACTTGCACTAAATTACATGAACAATATTGAGGATTTACTAGCACTGTTTTGAACACAACCTATAAAAGTGGGTGTATGTAGACAAAGAAATTTCACTACATAAAATGTTCACTTCATTTTCTTTATATTGTAGAAATACCTTTCCAACAGTAAGAGACATGGATCTAGATGAGCGAGGTACTCCATCTTCTGCATAAAAATATTAGATAAAAAACCAGTCTTAGACTATAAGAGTATATATAAATAATATTAATAAATTAATAAAATTAATTAATAATATTTCAAACTCTGATATAGCACATTTATACAAGGTCTGCAGTGACTGCATATTTATCTGTCATACAGTTCTGGTCTCAGTTACACCTCCAGAAGAAATCTGAAATAATTGTGAAAAAATTGAACCATTACTGTCTTTACTGAGACCAGGCAAAAGCCCACTATTTGCTTCTATATGTAAGTTTTTGCAAAAGAAAATACTCATATTTCAGTTTCCAGTAAACTAGGAAAGAAAAGGTTTAAAAAAGAAAAAATCCTTTTAATAATGAAATTTTGCCATCATCTGTCACATAAGAGGTATTTGTGTTAAAACTGTGCAAGCTACACATATGTGCAAGAGGCCAATGAAAATGTCATTGGATCTCATCAAAATTCAGTAAGTAACAGTGACTTTAAATTACTGTGCTATAGCCTTAAGTATGGCTTATATTAAATATTTTAACTGTTACATCTATAACTTTTTGAAATCTACTCCTGTAGATCAGAACTTCACGAACAGGTTTCATGATATTTCACTTTTTAGCCCTAATAGCTCCAACATCTCTCTGTATAGAGGCAAGACAAACAATTTTTTTTTTTTTTTACCAGATGCACCATAGCTTCTGCTAGAATTCTGATTGGCAAGTTTCTTGAACTCCATTAGTTCCGCATGATCCTTTTCGTATGTTCTTTTCAAATTTTCCACATACTGCATCATTACTTCTGTTGCCTTTGACATACGCTTCTCCTAAGGAAGAAAAGAGGGGAATACTCAGGTAAACACTACACTTCTCAAACAGATCATTTGCCTCTATGTGTATGTTCCTTGTCAGGGCTAAATCTGGAATGGTTGTTCTTATAGAAATATTGGTACATCCATGAAAAAAAATTCCTAGGCTAATTGGAACAAAAATGCACATGCATTCATATATATCCACAGAATATCATAATTTATGTTGTCATGTTTTACAATATATATATATATTACAAGTCTGTCTGTGTGCCTGTCTTACTAGTTATGTGGTATACGTACATTTGTTTTCAAACCCTTGAAGGTCTTAGTCACTGGCATCAGTCTTGTTACTTTAGTGGGAAGAGGCAACAGTCTTGAACCTGGGAGGGTATTGCTGTGTTCTCACTTATACTTGTTCTGTTCTTATATGCTTTATAGTTGTCTGACTAAGCTATTGCCAAAGGAAGGTGACTGAACTAGATGAGCTTTGTGACCCAGAAAAGTCAGCTTACTCATGCTGTGCTGATTTTAATTAAGTTTCTTGTGATGCAGCTATAGTTCTGAATTATATATATGCTCCTATTGCACAGACGTTGAATGGCTTCATGGATAATCCTCTTCTGTTTGAACTCTATTTCCAGACTGAAATGCTGTCTTATCTGACACTACAATAAAAATCTTTAATCTGTCAAAATGACAAATAAAATTCAAAGGGCTAATATAACCTCCAGCTATGACTGAAAAAGAGAAGGAGTGAACATGTGCAGCCAGGATACGTGTTAGACACAAGGATGTTCTCACCTGGCGAACGGCTCCAACCATCTCAGCACGACTAGATAGTCTAGCAGCTAAGCGCCGCAGAACAGCAATATCCTCCAAGAGCTTCTGGTAAGCTTCTCTGTGTTCATAGTGATGCCATAAGTGAGCTGAAGACTGAAGTGAAAATACATAAGCTTTATTGTCATGTCTTGCCCCTTTTCATTCAGCCACAGAAGTGGGCTAGAGATGTGTAGGCACAACTACGCATGGACAAGTTAGCCCCAGAGAAGAGCCACCACTACCAGCAGATATAACCCAGAGAGTGCTGCTGCTCTGTTTCAGAATGGTGCTTCACTGCATACTGCAGGCACACTTTTCAAGGAGTTAAAGAGGGCCAAGCACATTTGCAATACTTTTCCTTTAATGATGAGTCAGTCCTTGCTACCTGTGACCTTTACAAATGCCAAGTTTATTTGAACTAGTACCTACAAATGATTGCCAAAACACAAAGAACATTTTAATTTGCTGGGCACAAGGTGTTACAAAGGCCATTTATTCTCTTTCAGTTCCATATTACTTCACTTATGTGGAAAATAAGACATTATAGTATCAAGCATTCCAAAAGTAAAAGAATAATAAAAAATAATATGGCTTGTAAATCAAATGGCAATTGCAATTTCTTAGCCAATTTTTGTCAATCAATACACACATTTATGCGCTGGATTCATACAGTCACTTTATAGCTCACACTAATACTGGAAAGCATCAAAGCATGTAACTTCCTTGGGATTAGTTACCAAAAGCAAGAGAGAATTTAGATGTTATATTAGTCAAAGCCTTAGTGAACACCTCTACATTGAATGAGTTTTCTGTTGACAGAAAAGTTTGATATGAGAAAACCTGATAGAATTTGGTTCAGACTTACAGGCAGACTTTGTGATGCTGGATGATTCCTATATTCTCAAAGTGCATTTTCAGGATGCACCAGTTTTGGCAATGAGGCTGTCTTAAGCAATTAATCACTGTTTTGCCATTCACACAATTTTCCCTCTGACCAGCTGCATTATGCCCCAGTTGTCTGCAACCCCTCACTTGTGTTACTGCAAGAGTAAGTCAACGCATTGAAATGATGTGTGAAAAGAATAACCTCTCCTCCTCCTCCTCTTTTTCTCCCCTCCTTCAAAAGAAGGGAGTGATGTGCAGTAACTTTGAGTAGTCATTTGAGAAACTGCATTTGTATTGCAAATCTTTGCTATATAAATACAGCCAAGAGACTGATGAATCTGCCACAACAACAGCTGCAAAACGACGACTACAAAAAATTCTTAAACCTATTTATCACTGAAGGTAGTGTGATAATAAATTCCAGCCAAAATTTGACTGCAAGACCCAAGGAGGCACAAGGGAATCTGAGAAAAACATGCACAGAATTTCAGATTTTCAGGTTTTTCTTGGCAACTGTAACCTGCGTATTTTCTCAAACAAATCTGATGTTCGTGTAAATCAGTTCATGTCTTGAAGTTGGGTTTTTGAATAAAACATCGATTATCACAAAATTGATAAAAAAAAATCACAAAGACTGGTAAAACTGTCATTGAGCCATATAACATCTGCCTGTCCTACAGAAATGAAGATAACCTCCCACTGAGATTAGAACAGGTCTATGTCTAATACGATACAGATTATACAGAAGGCGTGACTTAATTTAATTGCTTGTTAGTTCATTCAATTGTACAGAACAAAAGTTTTTATATGAATGACAGGTTCCATTTTGTTATAAATTACATTAAAAAGCTTGTAAAAGCCAGACTGTAGCATGTGAACTGCATAAAGGAGGAAAAAGCTGATCATATCTGTCCCATGCTGGCAACATGGTCCTCAGTGCCTAATCAAGAGAAACACATGTCAAGTCTAACAGACTTTTTTTTTTTCAGTTTTAAGAGTCCTTATACACTAGTTGTAAAAATGTGCATGCATACAAAATGTTATAATAAATAAACCCCTGAGATTTACTAGGTTGTCTCTGACTGTTCTTTAAAAAACAGAGAACAGAGGGAAAAGCAGCAAAATATTCAAAACTTTTTTTTTTTTCAGATTTGAAATTCCAGATGAAAAGATGTAAATACCTTCTTTTTTTTTAAAATTGTATCCTTTCTTTCCTGATGATGTTCTTGATAAAGTAAATGGGAGAATCATATGTTCTCCTAACTATTTCTCAAAAGTATGGCAGCGCCTCCTTGTAATATGCGAATTGGGTCTACAGGTATTTCATTTAGAAGCATGGTATCTAGGCGTCCCTTCCTTTTTTGCACAAAAACGTGTGCAGCATGTAAGTTGTCACATCTCAAAGACGTATTTGTCATTTCAGTTAGAAAATCCAGAGAAAGCTGGCAAGGACTGAAAATTACTGCTAATAAAAGAACATCAGGGGCAGCTAACATGAAAGAGTATTCAGGCCCATAACCTGATCCTGAGATTGCATGTATTCCTTAAGTAATCCTCACCGTTTCCTTTCCTATACTGCCTTCTGTTATCTGCAGTTAAGAAGTCTTTCAAGTCACAAATCTCAAGACTCAGGCTTCAGATCATTTCAGTATCTCACCTAACCGCACACCTCAAATTTACTGCTAAAGAAGGTCTTGCCCAAGAAAGCATGGATCGGTGCCCAAATTGCAGCTCTGAATGCTCTTAGGTTTGTCACAGGCTCATTCCAAGAATTAAACAGCAAATTCATAGTATTTATTCCTGAATTCTGTTAGACGTAGGGCAACATCATCTATGCATTCCCAGCAATGGTGGCCCACTCTGGCAGAAAACACTGTCTCTTGTGTAGAGTGGTAGGCAGCTTCGGTAAGGACTTCTAACAGCAGAAAATTAAGCTTTGGGCCTGAATTTAAAATAGGTACAAGCAAGCATAGCCACAAATAGTTCAAATGTGTGTGCACTTTCATGTACGCTATCATTCAGAAAAAGCATTATTTGTTTTCTTACCGTAATGGCTGCTTTAAAATTTTCCAGTTCCTTCTCAGCATTCTCTTCAGTAAGATTTCTTTCTCTCTCTGCTTGGTTAATTCTAGATTCCAACGTATAACTATCATTTCTAAAGGCCAAGGAAAGTTGTACAAATACATTCTGTTTGGATTAAAAAGGGGCATTTTTAAGTACGTGTGACAGCAAAGTAAACTTCCAATAACAACTTATGAATAAGATATGTGTTTAACAAACTTAAATAAGTGCTTAAATAAGTATTGAAACAGAAAATTGAAAATATTTTTTAAGTTTAATTGTTTCAAAAATCACTTCTCTTTACTTCCTCTAAAATATGAATAAATGTGCTGCTGCCCCTTTTTCTGAATGTTTTTCTGGGAGATCAGTAGAGCAGAGACACAATGAAGGAAGTAGCCTACCAGAACTATCAGAATCACAATGGATCTGTTTTCTAGCTGGACTTCCTCCAAGGGTCCCCAAGGTTTTTAAACAGATAGTCTGTGCAGAGGAAGTCCAGGGATGAGCTCACCATTAGCATTGTTTTACCTAAGCGATAAACACCTACCACTGAAGCCAGCAAAAGATTAAGTGCTAACATTTTTATTTTCTTGCACCCTGCTTTTAAAGATTGTTTCTTTCTTTACCAGATACATTATTTCTTAGGATTAATACTTTGCAAAGCACAGGCACCAACAGTTCCATCAGAATGGAGCTATGTAAATAAAGATCTTTTTCTTCACCAGTATGTGAAAAAAAAGAAGAAGGAAAGTCAACAAGCTAAAGAGCAACCTACAAAAAAAAATTATCGGCTTGAACTGAAAAAGTAAAAATTCTGTAAACTAACTTCAAGATATCATCAAAAACTGCCCCAAAGCTCCTATTGGCCAATACAAAAATGCAATTTAACTCATTTAATTTCTGGTCTCATTTAATCTCAAATTTTAACTGCTTTAAGTATATTATAATAATTTCCAAAATCAATGCATATTTTATTAAAAAGAATGCATAACAAGTGGTTTGCTTATTTCTACTCCAAGTCTTTTTACATTTTATATTGCCTGGGACAATTGCCCATATTTCATAAAATTGTGATTTTGATTGAGCTCAATATGTTTTTTTTCTGAGAAATATTTTCGGACACACCACACATGCCCCCCCATTGCCTGGTTCTAATAACCACCCTTAAACTTACAGTAACCACTTAAAATTGAGGCATATGTCTAAAATAACGAGTTTAAGAACATACTTACCTCAACTTCTTTTTCAGTAAGTGGAGGGGAGCTAGAAATAAAAGCAAAAAATTCACATTTTAATTAGTTTTGCCTCTAAACACAAAGCTACTGTAATATTCACTCAAAAAGAACAACAAAAGACATCCTCCCCTTAAATATTTTATGGTTTCTTTTGGTGAAACCAGTATTTAATTAATTCAATTGTACTTGTTATGGCTAAACCCTATGGGTTTTTTTTAAAGCAACAGCACAGTATCACTTGAGTATTGGCAAAAACATACCAAAGTTTCTGGCAACTGCAAATACTGCTATGTGCACTACATTGTGATAAATTGTGAGTACAAGAGCAAGACAGAAGGTACATTTTTGGAGTTGCGAGTGACAATATGCTATACTTTGGATTATTATTCAAGGTCCCTTCCAACCTAAACCATTCTATGATTCTATTCTATGATTATCTTTACCTGTTTTCCTTCTGTTAACAGTTGAAACCTCATGAAGATGATGATCACAGATAATCACAGATGGCCAGAATTCAAAATCCAGCTCACTGTATACTAAGCTATCCTGTTTTGGCTGCTATCTTTGTTACAAGTTAGCTAACAATGACTCTGACCATGATTCTGACACTTACAAAATACATGTTTGAGTTTTATGAGTTTTCCACCACAAGAAAAATTACTGACTATACAAAAACTAGAAAAAGTTACCAAAATGCAGTTTCATAGAATACTATAAAAGAAATGAGATAGACAGAATATTATGTTGCAAGATTTCCCTTAAAGGCAGTCACCCCATGTGAATTTACAGGTTCTTATTCCCTGTAATTGATCCAAAACATCAGAGAGCTATTTCAGTTTTATGCCAGTGAACAGAGACGAGAAACATCTGAAAGAAATGACAGGAGCTGTACATACAAATTCTAGTGGATGCCAGCGATTGGAGTTGTGGTTGACAGTATCATGTACTGTGCAGACATTATACTTTCAGAAAATTCAAATTTAGTGCAATATTCATTGCATCATTAATCCCAAATATAGAAATCAATGCATCTGGCATCAAAAAGCAGCAGATTTTTCTTGTTGGGTAGAATAACAGAGTAGTGACTAGAAGAAGGGAGGCCAGTGTGTCCCTTGTGTTGGAAAACCATTTTGTGCTTAAAGTATTAGTATTCATATTACTTAATGTTATTCTCAGAGGAAGCCTACTAGAAGGAGCAATATTCAAGCATCTGTATGTATTACATATCACAGCACAGACTGATAAAATTCGTGTCTTTCTTTGGCTGGGAACATTCTGAGAAATTTATATTAAGAGTAAAAAGTTATGTGTGTATTTATTCAATAGATTAAGCCAACTGATAAAAAAATATTACCTGAAAAACAGAAGATCTCTATATTGTCTGATCCTCAAAGCCAGTTCAGCATTTCCCTATTTTGTACTTAGCTAAGAAATTACTTTTTCAGTATTTGATTACAATCAAGCAATGGTGTCTTAGAACTTCTTCACCTCATGCATTCGTTTACATAAAATGTTGTATACAACAGTTCCTTCACAACAAATGTTAAATATTAATTTCATCTGCACAGAGAACACATATTGACTACTTCAAATGATTGAAGGCCTGTGGCATTTATAGTATAAAAACACATGAGTGAATTTAGGAATAGTTTTGGCAAAATGTGCTCGGGATTGTTTTAATGGCTACTAAGCATTTTTTTTTTATGGTTTTATTTCTCTCAAAGAAAAGGCTTATGCAGAAATATGGAAGAGGCTTAGCTTTATTCTAATGCAATACAAAATAAAATATGCTCAGTCTCTAAAGTTACAAGTGGTGCAAACTGTGCAAGGTGTGTGGTAATAAATGATTCATTTGAGCTTTTTTCCCTATATATTTCTTGTGCCAGAGCAAAATATTTTCTGAAGTTATGGACTTCTGTATCCTTTTAAACACAAACCTCCCCCTAAAAAGGAAAATGCCACTTAAATTCTGTCGAGAAAATGTTAAGCTTGGACAGCAGTAAACTCAAATTAGAATGAAAATTGGTATTTCTAGAGGTCTGGACAAACGCCTGGCAGGTATAGTCTGTTAAGACTCCACTTCAGAAGAGTATGGACCAGAGAATTCCCTTGCTATAGTTACATTGCATTGTGCAACAATAGCTCTAGTTTCTAATGATCTCTTGTATGGTGCTACCCTACGCATCTATAACATGCAGACGTACTGTTTCAGATTGCATAAGAGCAAAAGGAGAAGGTGTTAAGCAATCTGTTGATAAATGTGTACTTGCACAGCCCAAGATCAGGGAATTTGCCAGGGAGTCCTTCACCTATGATTGCAAAATAAACTCAATTTCCCTGAAAAATCATCACCTGTAGAAAACCTGCAGAATTCTTACATGCCCAAATTTTACCATTGGAAAGCATTATCTGGCCTGATTATTTTTCTGGGGGAAAGAAATACTAACATTTTCAACATGAATTTATATCTGCAGCAGCAATCCTGAAAACCAGGAGTGGACAGACCAGTAGAAAAATCTGTATAAAAATGTACTTGTGGCATGCAAGTTAGGTTTCAAACTTTTTCTGTAGAACTTACAATCTAATTTAAAAAGTTGGCCAGTTACTTGAAGTTGGCGCACTCCCCAAAATTTTTTCAGAAAAATCTGTGTTGCAGGTTTTAAGATGCAGCAATTTTTCTACTTATATGGATGCCCTATGACTGGAACTCCATAAAGGAAGTTCACTGGAAGCCATCAGTGTGCTTTCCCCCGGATGATGTCTTTCTACTTCTAATGAGCTTTTACCTTCCCGGAAGTGATTTGTGCACTCGTAGTTTTCGCAGCAATACATCAGGAATGCTGGGCATGACATCAGAGCTGTTCTTTGTCTCTTCCTCTTCAGTGGGAGAGGGGAGAGGCGAAGGGCCTAAAGACATTTTCAGATAAAAAAAATTCAATGTTATTTGAAAAGTCATGCATTAATAGTCAGCATCTCAGAGCCAATTAGGACTTTTTAGCCCAACTGTGTCCTTTTTAAAGTCAATGAGGATTTCACCCCAACTCTACTGGGAGCAAAAGTGAACAACAAGAAAAGGTCCATCCCTTCATGCAGAACGTTACTTCCTTTATTGCACATGGTGATACATCACTCATCTCACCTTTAATGCTAAAGATACCCTGTCTTCCTTTCAAGCAATGGCAACAGAAGTAATCAGTACAACTGTCATCTTTTATGTAAAAAGACTGAAGCAATACGCACTCTGACAGTCTCTAATGCACTGAAAAATAATTGTTGCATTAGTATTTTTCCTAGAATTCAGACTGAACCCAAATTCATTACTGGAACACCTAACCTAACATTTTGCATTTGTGCTTTACCAGTACAGTTACACCACTTTGGGAATATTTTAGCTTAGATTCTGTAATAGAGTACTGTTATTTTCTAAAGCTTTAAATGCCACCTGCCAAGTCTAGTATAATGCACTATACTACAGAGTTTGTGCAACATTTATGGTGATGAATCTACAACATGTACCTGTTTGCACTGCATGTTGATTGGAACAGGACATAAAGATTATAATTGCATTCTCTACTTCTGTAACTTTCATAAGGCCCAAGATATGGCTCAAACGTCTTTTAAAAAAATTCATGTTACTTAACTTTTTTATTTTCATTTTATTTAATTTCATATATAATAATTCCCTTATGTCCTTCTATCTTACCAGAATTTAATGAAGGGCTCTCCTATAGGAAAGTCAGGTTCCCCAGTCTGAATCTCAGACTTAGGAAGATATCTTTGTACAGCTCTCCTGTTCATCTGGCATAACAGGAAGATTCTTAGACTTGCAAAAAAAATAGTGGGAAAAAGCTCAAATTTTGTAAATGTGGAGAGCATTAATACAAAAGACAGAAAAGAATGGGAGATTCTTTCTAGCTACATTCTAGTTCTGTGCATTTCCTTTATATTTAAAAATTCCAGTATTTACTTAAGAACAGTCACATATGTCCCCATAAAAAGTCAGCCTGACATCACAATGTCTCCAGATCTAATATATCCCACTTACCTAAATTTCAGTAGATGCAAAGTTGCGTTTACTAAGATAATCACAATAACTTGGCATTTATAGCAAAACATGATGGAGCCTGTATATTTAATTCGTAGCAGTAATAATGAAGTAGCTGGCTATTTCCTATTGTTTAAGCAAAATTACTACTCCAGTTAAAAAGCACAGGGTGGCTTTTATGACAATGTAAGGAAGTAAGTCTCCCTAACAAATGAACTAAGGATTTGACCCCTAACTTCTTCTCCCCACTGAGGACAAGGAGCTGACTCTTCATGTTCTGGCTATCATTTCGATAAGTTAGTAGACTTCAAAAAGCTTGTGATGCTCATGAGATCTTGATTGAAAAGCTGGATAAAATAATGTCTAGCTTTTCATAAGGTTTTCCTCAAAAGTTTCAAATTTGCGAAAATTATTTAACAGGCGGGTAAAATGGCTATTTTACACTTTCAAACAGAGCCTGCTAAATAATTTCTGGGAAATGATCTCTTAGCAGAGTGACAGGAATAATATTACCATACCTAAGAATCCAAAGATATAGTCACCAAATACAGAAAGAGGACAAGAAGTCTCTTTTAATCATTCAGACTGAAGATGAGTCTGTTTCCGGAGATAACATGAAAAGTAATATCTTGGACATCTCCCCGTGCGACAGAAACTTTAAGGCTTTATAAAACAGTTCCAAAGTAAATCTAAGAACTGCTTTAGGAAAAATGGAAATTGTCTTTGGATCAAATCTTGAACAATCAGTTTCAGCTCCTTTCATATTAACCATCTACATTTCAGTTAATTTAATTCAGTTAAAAACACTCTGAACAAGCTCTGATTTAACTACTTCCAAACAGTTTTGGTTTAAATATATTCAATTGATTGCACAGCACTGCTGCTATTTAGTTCTTCCAGTTGTTTAATTGTCCTCAGGATTATATCTTTGCTCTTTGTTCCCATTCTGAATCTTTCTGAATACAGCCTACAGACATCAAATCTCATTTTCTTGTGTTAGATTGGAAAACACATTTGGTGCCAGATTTCTGTTTCCTCATTTATGTAGAGTTTTAAGCCTTTTTCTTATTAAAAATCATACAAATTGATCTACGCCCCCCCCCCCCCCCCCCCCCTCTCTCACACGACCGCGCACAATCCTTCAATCACATTTATGTCTCCTTTCTGGCCTTACTCTTACCTATCCACATTGACGTAGAGCTGTGGACCAGAAGTGAACATGCCATTCCAATATTTGCCACACATATACTAAAATAAAAAAGCAGGAATAAAGCATTCCATCTCTTGTTTATAGTTTCAAGCATCAAATTCACCCTTATGGCCACAATATCTTGCAGAGGTCAAATCTATTCAATCCGTCATTGCTGAAACATTCTTTCAGAAAGCCACTGAAACTTGAGACAGTCCTCCATCTATTAAGTACAAGCTAGACTCTGGCCAGGTACATATCTTTTCATTTGGTTGTAATAGTACCTACAGTATCTTCTTGGCTCAGATCATCAAGAAATTCAAATACTTCCATTATTAGCCTCTCTTATTCATCATTTACTACCTTCCTCCATGACTGCTTCATTACAACTACTATTGCAATTGAAGAAAAAGACTTTTTTTTTCCCTCCGTACTAGTCAATTATAAAAATCAGCGTACAACAAAGAAACACTCCTTCCAGCTTTTATGATACTGCACCTTTTTCCTGTTCAGCTGCTTCACTAAGTTCAGGAAGTTTAAGTCCAACTAAATTTTGATTTCTCATCAAAATATGCTCCTGTTAAGAAAAACAGTAACATTTCTAAGTAACGTAACTAGAAATTTCAATTTAAATATCCCTGCCACGTGAACACTAAATATAACATTTACTTTAGTTAATAAACATAGTGGATATTTATATTAAGTTACCGTCAGATGCTACATTGCATGGATACATGTACATTCACACATATGCTCTTGAATATTACATATTTCAGATTTCATAGATGCCTTATTTGGAAAAATTCCTGGTCATGCAAACATAGATTTGTAACATGTGCCCCTTAGTCAAGTAGAAAAATTGAGTTGTGGTAAATGAGGGTTTTAGGAAATGAGAGAAAAAAAAATATTTTAGATATAGCCATAGTAATAAGTAAGTATCCAAGACAGAAGAGAAAATCCAGAAAATCAGATACATGAGACTTTGTCACTTGGACTTATTCAGTAGAATGTATTCACACGAAAGCTTAGTATGATACAGGTGCAAGTCAATACTTCACTGTTATTGTACTCTGCCTCTATTCCTTACAGGTAGGGAAGAATGTACTTTCAAGGATTAAACCTTGTTATCTAATGTTTCCATCTCATTTTCTACTTTCATATTCTCAAATATGTTTAAAATTCACAAACATCTGCTTTTGTTTATAGGTAAATAATTCCCAATGGAGACACAGTTCAAATCTCACCTAATTGGAATTATATATCATGTTGTATTAATTTTTTTATTCTAACTATTATTTTTGCTTAACAGCTTCTAAGGACTTACAAAATTATATGGCTTAAGTGTCCCTATAATCAAAACTTCCAGTACATATATGATAAGAATATGTGTTATATAAAGAGGAAAAGATGAATCACTAAGCTGCCATTCCCAAGCAATACAATGGGAATAAATTAACCCAAGTGCAGAGTCTGAGGTCCCCACCTGTCAGCCCCATGTCCATCTTAAGATATTAACAGTCAAAGAAAATACTCTTATTAGGCTGTTAAGGAAAGTGACTACTACTTTTTTTTTTCTTTCAAAGGTCATTTTTTCCATACACACATGGTAGTTGCTTTATGATGGTGGTTTATAATTTGACATTTCTACTTTATTTTTTTCAATTTGCTAGTTAATTCTTAGGGTTTAATTCTTAATTTTTACCAATCATTTAGACAATTACTTAACAATGGATTAGTTTGTAGATTTCATAGTTCAAGTCTGTCCTTCAAGAAGATGACAGATTTGCACCATGTTAGAATTAGGAACTGTTAATCTGGCCAACCTCTACCTGCCCTTGCTTTCAGAAACACCCAGTTTTAAAACTGAACATTTTCAGACATTTTCTGAGAATGTTCAATAAGCAAAAAATCATACCAAAACATTTCCTGTCCCCCGAGATCCTGCAAATGTAATGTTACTGCAAAGGCTAGAATTCTTGGATGACAGGACTACTGCCCTTAGAAGGGAGAATGCCAACCAATACAGGACTCAAAAACACTCAGCTGAACAAAGTAAAAGTGATTTTTAAATCCAAGGGTTCACAAATAGTATATGATATGCAGAGGCTTGTACACCCTTAAACAAGAGTGTAGTAACCATCTCCAAACTTCAGTTAAAGATTTCTGTTTATTGCAGGTCTCAGCCCTCATACAGAAATCAATCAGTTAGTCAATATGTTGTGAGACCCTCTGGGTCTCAGGACATTCCGAAGAAGCAGAAAAACCATAGCACAGGGAAGCAAAGGAAGTAAAAGAGCATAAGTAACCCTTTTAAGGAGAATGTTGTTACATCCTGAGGACCAAAAGATTCTTCAGATCTAAAATTCTCTTCAGAAATGAAAATAGATCATTTTACTCCTAAGTATGTTTTGCAAATGACTGTTAATCAACTGCTTCCTGTTTATAGGTCATGTAAACGATGCAAAAGATGAGATATATTGTCGTTTAGACTCACCTTTCTGTCACAATGAAAGCAATTAGTACTTTCTTGACACCAGTATGACATTTTTTTTCTGGGGCCAAAACCTGCACGCGCAAGTATATGCACATGGATCTGTGCATACTGAAGAAGCCATAGTGCACTTGATGCGTATTTGAAGAGAGCTAAGAATAATTCCACAGAATTCACTTAAAGGATACAATTTACTAAAGTTGCAAAGGAAAAGCAGGATACAATACTGTATTGATTTTGCTGAAACTGTATTTCTTGCAACGATAAAAATAACGCTGAGCAAGCTGAAAGTTTAGTAAGATATGAAAATAACTTTAAACCAGGATACAGCTGATGACTAGGACTCACCTCTCTGAGCTTTGTCAATTTCTGCATTCGAACCGGTTGAACTTGGATTTGAAGGTCTTTGAATGCTTTTAATTGATTGCTGGATTTATTACCAACAACAAAGCTTTTATCTTCCTCAGATGGTAATTTTAAAGGTGTTCTGTCTTTCTGTCCAGGCTCCAAGCTGTCCCATGATACAGCCCGTAGTAGAGGAGGACGCAGTCCACAGAGTTTAAATTCTGGTTTACATGAAACTTTATGGTCCCTCATTTCTGGAACAGGAATTTTTAGCTTTGAGTCTATATTTCCTATTCCTGGTCCTGGTAGATGAGTTCTTAAAGGAACATCATTTGCTTTCTTCAGGAATGATTTTCCAAGTTCATTTTCACAAACATTCATGCAAGTGTTAAGAGATGTTCTGCCACCATCACCACCTGAAGCGGAGCATTTAGGTAAAGTATCCATATGTTTACGTGGATCAAAGTTTTCTTTTTGTTCTGAGAGCTTCTCTTTGGAGTTTTCAAAACCAGCAGAACGAGGAACCAATCTTCCCTGAGAAATCTTTCTTTGATCATTCTGCCTTCGATCATTTAATCCTTTTGCAGCATTCTGAAAGTAGAGGGACACTCATAAAACAGAGAAATAAGAGCAGATTCCTCTTTTCCCTGCCCAAGGACAGATTTTCACTGTAAAAAGCCATTTCCTTTGCAGTGACATATGCTTTTAAACATGTGCTGTTGACAAGAGAAATATTTTTTAAAAGGCACTTGAAAGAACACTGACCTGGGAATCTCTTCTCTGAACTTTTGAGATAACCTCCTCCCATTCCAGAGTCCATTATGGCAATCCTCATATAGTCAAGTTTCTCATCATCTTAATGTAAGGTTTGTCTGAATACACACCTTTAGCCCTGTATCTTATAGCACTGTTTCTTTCCTTTGATTGTTTTCTGTTAGTTCCTCACCTCCCAAGGGAAAAGAGCATGGGCTTGTACACAAAGTTAAAGCACACATTGTAATTTCTCTCTTCTTACTTTGTGTGCAGCACTATAGATTATAATTTGGCTGCAATCTCTACGGGAGAACTGGCAAAAAGAATGTGTGCCTATACCTTGGCTGCTTTGGTACAGAATCTGCATTTCATCTAAGGGCACCTGTGTCAGCAATTCAAGGCAACCAACATACAATCTAACTGTGGGCTCTGCCTTAGATATGTTGCTACTCCTTTCCTTTATAGTTACTGATCCAAAATTCTCCTGCCGTACTGTTTTTTGTAAGTATTGCCTAATCCGCTCACAGCAAAATCTCTTTAAAGGGCCATCTGATATTACCTAAAATATATTAGGAAGCACTCATATAAACTGTTCCACCAATAGTTGTGTGGAGCAGTAACATCCCATCAGTGGTGTGGAACACAAAGTAGAGTAACCTCTTCCACTGAACCAAAGGAGTCTGGAAGAGGATGTCTGTCTAAAACACCAGCATACACCGGAGTTGCTATTGTAGATATTTTTACTTTACTTATAAAGGTATTTAGTATATTGATTTTAATTGAGCTAGAGCAGGGTGCATGATAGGATGTAAAGGCTAGCTGTAACCACTGTCCTTCACCATATTTCCAGGTGCTTCACAATTTCTTAGAGCAGTATCATTTTTCTTTTCACTCAGTGAGCAGTCTTTTAGACTCTTTAATCACATAAATAAGTCATATGTGTGCTAAGACACACAGGCAAATTTTGTTCGACACTTAACATGAAACACTTACCTCTGCAGTTTGCCTGTCATCCTCTTTCACAGTTCTGTTATTCTAGCAAAAATGGAAGGAAAAAGTTGCCTTACCTTTCACATCTATGCTGCAAATGTTAGATATAGATACTAACGGATAAACTTTGAATCTCTTAACTTTTACACTGCTTGTCACATATATTTATGAAGTAACTTTTGGGGTTATTTTTTCCATAGGTTAGGATTATATTGGAACTTTTTCCATTTTCTACACTTAACAGATCCCCATGATCACCTTCAGTGCTCGTTACCTCATGGATTTTTGTCTTCAGAGTTAACATTTATTAGTCCCTCACTCTGCAGAGAAAACCTATCAATAATGCAATCTTGGTATATAAAATGGTATTCAAAACATCCCATTTTCCTCAGGGACTGTCAGGACAGCATAGTGTAATATAGTGCTGTAATAACCCGGTTACTGTGCAGACTATTCAGCTCTTTCTTACCTGCCCTGGAGATACTGACTCGACACCAGTGGTTGTGCATACATCAGATCCTAGAAAGACATACACATAATTAGGGCATATTCTGACGTTTTGCTCAAAATTTTTACTACTACAGCATTAGCAAACACATACACGTACAGTTCCATGTAATATATTAAGGACAAAATTTAAATATGGAAAATACTATTAAAAAGGAGGAAAAAACCCTATCTAAAATATAGTAAAGGAAAGATCATGAAAGCTTATCAAAAGTCCATTATTGAAAAGAATAACAAAATAGAACATATAACTTAGCAGCATCACAGGAATAAAAAAATAATAATACAAAATACAATTAAAAAGAATATATACTGTGGGCATTCATGGGCTTTGTCATATTTAGGAGGAGATGCTTGAGTCTGCAGATTTTGACTTTTCCTCAAGAGATACCAAACCCCATATTTTTGGTTGCCTTTTACAAGGTAAAGTTTGAGCCTGCATACATCATTTTACCTGATGGAACTGGAAGAGTGAGAGAGTTGCTCCGAGATGCTACTGGTGAAACTTTAGGACTAAGTGTTGGGGAAACTGCTTCATTAAAACAAAGACAAAAACAAAAACAAAAGGTAATTTTACTTTCTAGGCTTGTAGCTTCTGAATTTTTAAAATTCAGCTAAGATTAAAACATGAATCAAATAGTTATCAGTCATGTGTTTGTCCACAACCTGACAAGTTATACTTAACAATTAGGAACTTAGAGAAGGTTTTATCTCATATACCTGCCACAAACTAATACAATTCTGTCAATACACAGAATCCTTATTCTCCTAAGTTTTCTGATACTGTAAGCACTGCAGAAAAGTAGACACAAGAGAAGGATTCACAAGGAATTTAGTAAAAAAAAAGGAAAATTTAATTTCCTCCAGAAAGCAGCAAACCAATTTTAAGATAGAACTTCGTTTTGAATTGGCATTTCAAAGGTAAATGAAAGTCCTACTTCAAATTAGCAAAGTGTATGTATACAGTAGAAATATATGCATTACAGGAGATGCTTGTATGTGCCTTTGCAGATCTTTGGAGAAGAATATAAAGTCTTGTTTTCAGAACCTGCATCTACCTGTTGGCGACTCCGGGAGGCTGCTTCTTGACTTTCTCCCTCTGCGCATTAGAAACCTCTCGCTTACTTTCTTTGCCTCTTCTAGTAATTCAAGGTTCTTCTTTTTGTCTTCCTCTGATATTTTGACATCTGGTAGCTGATCATTTACCAGATCAATCACATGACCACTGTTGTCTAGGTAGAAAGCATCACAATTAGAGCTGTACCTCATATTTCCAGATAGGTTGTGGCATTTCAGAGTAACATGTACAAAACATATATATAAATTTAATTTTGAGCTTGCATTTAATAAATATTCATGTCTGCTCATTTCTAATGTTGCTATATTCTCAAGTTTAGAGCAAGTCCTCAAAAACACAGATAACCCACCAAGATTAAGTCACTTTGATCCAAGATGCTCTGATACGTGAAATGGGCTTTTACAGCTGTGTCCCCAATACAGTTTTTCTAATGTATCAGTAAAAGTGGCATTAGATCCATTTCAACCAGCATTCATGGCGTTTCTGTCTTAGACTTAGTTTTTCCATGGATTTTGTATCTCTGGTTTTTCAAGGCTAAGGCCCCACAAACTCACTGGCAAAGATTCATGCACGCTAGTTTTAACATACAGATGATTCCATGAAATAATCTATATAATAAAGTGCAAAGTTGGGAATTATAAAGATTTTATTCTATGCAGATAGAAGAGCTTTTCCCACAAATGCAGAAGCAACAGTAAAGCTGCACCTGGCAAAGCTACAGGCAGAGGCTGAATGCTACAGCCTGAGAATTATAAAGCTATTTCAAAAAGCAAATAAATCTCTACCATGTGGTAGACCTGCAAGAATTTTCCAAAGGAACTGCAAATCCCATTAGAATATTCAATGGTTAAAGAGGGCGTTGTTAGAGACTGCTTCTCCTCATACCCACTTGTGTTGACATGTTAGATAACGTGACCCGGGAGAATGCATGGACTACAAACTGAAAGCCACTGCCCTACACTTAGACATTTAGATTAATGCATTGTTTTCTAAACAATTTTTAATTACCTGTAGAGAGAACCCTTTAATCCCTGGCTTCCACGTTGGTCAAAACCACTAAATTTGAACACTAATTTCTACAATTCTCCAAGCTATGATTAAGCAAAGAATGTATCCTGTTGTCAGAAAGGCCCTTTCTATGTGCGTTGGCGTGAATGGCTTCTATAAGCATCTAGGCTTGTATGGAGAAACAGTTTCCTGAAAACAACAGGCCAAAGAAAGGGAATACATATGCTGATGAAGTAGTGTGCAACGTTTTCATGGGCTGATAAACTCCACAGACCAGTGAGGTTGTTGGATCTGCAAGAACCGATAAATACATCACCAAGAGTCTGCTCTATCTGTACAAGGCCACTGGCACACACTAGCATCAACAACAGACTGCAAGTCAGACATTTATTCTCAGGTAACTATGAGGAAATTTATGACTCTTTGAGTGAACTAACTATACAAGTGAATAAGTGACTGTGTTGTGTGAAGAGTTATTTGGTGTTAATAACCTGATCACATTAACAACAGCTTAGTGAATAAAATGTGTTCTAAGAAATATCAGTTGTGACTGTCTCTCTCCCCAGCTTGATGCCTCTACTAGAGGGAATTTATCACACTGTTTTGCAATAAGAACAACTTACTAAAGAACAACTTGGGGGAGGGAAGTAATCAAGTAATAAGAGAAAAATATTTTTAATTTGACAAGAGCCATTACAGAGCAACCAGTCTTCAGAGAAGCTAAGGACATAAGCAAGCAGCAAAACCTCAAGTCTTTTTGGTTTGTGGGTGTGGGGTTGTTTGTTTGGAGGTTGTTGTTGGGGTTTTTTTTTGGGGGGGGGGCATGGGGCGGTAGTGTTTGTTTTTTTTCTAATTTCTGCAAATTCAGTTCAATTTCAAGGCTGTCAAGCATGCCTTGAAAGATTGGATATTCTTAACGCAATCTACTTCTAATGAAATACCTTTCTCGTTTTATGCTAAGATTTCTGTGTTGAAAGTTTGAGAGAAGGACATCCCATGACACTTTCCTTGGGCCAGCAAAAGAGGAGAACTGCAAGGCAGGGTAATTTCTATCTTCCTTGAGCAAGTAAATTTTCATCACTATACTCAACATCTTTGCCTTTTTATATTTGCCTTGCCTTCTGCTTCTTCACCACTTCCATTTCCTTTCCCCTTTGCTGCCATTTTATCTTTTCTCATGAATTCCCTTCAGTTTCTCTTGCTGTGTCCCATCCCAGGACCTGCTTACATATAACAAGTGTTCAAAGAATCACCTGTTGATTATTTCAGGCCAACAAGTCTATGATTTTGTATGTATCCATGAAGTTACATTTCTTTCAGGGAAGTCAGACCTGCAACAGGTCACATGTTGTAACAGGTTTGATTAGAAAATGCCTAACTTAGAAAAGCAACATCTTAGAATCATAGAGTAATCCAGGTTGGAAAGGACTATTGAAGGTCATCTAGTCCAACATTCAAAGCAGAATGAGTGGTGAAATCAGACCAGGTTGCTAGTCTTTTAAGACAATCTGGTCTTGAAAAACCTCTAAGGATGGAGAATGCAAAACCCCTCTGGGCAGACTGTTCTAATGCTTGACTCTAGAGCAAGTGAAAAGTTCTTTATACCCACTTAGAGCTTCACCCATTTCAAATTACATCGGTTGCCTCTTGTCCTCCTGCCATGGGCCCGGCTCTGTTACCTGATGATCTTCTCACTAGTATTGAAAGGCTGTATAAGATTTCCCCTAAAGCCATCTCCTCTCCAGGCTAAATTAGGCCAGCTCCTTTAGCCTTCCTTCACAAGGCAAATATTTCAGCCCCTGGACCATCTTTGCGGCCCTCCATTGGACTCACTCCCATTTATCAACACTTGGAGGTTCCAAAACTGGATGCAGTTTTTTAGATGCAGTCTAATAAGTGCTAAATAAAGGGGAATAAACACTTTCCTTGATCTACTGCCAGGGCTTCTAATAGTACGGTCCATGACATTGTTAGCCCTCTGCTGCAAGGGCACACTGCCGGTTCATGTTCAACCTGGTGTCTACCAAGGCCTCCAGGCCTTTTTCAGCAGAGCAGCTTTCCAGCCAGCCAACCCCCAGCCTGTACCTACTGCAAGTGGTTATTCCTTCCCAGATGTAGGACTCTGAATTTATCTTTACTGAATTTCATAAGGTTCCTGTTGGCTCATTCCTCCAGCCTGTCTAGGTCTCTCTGAATTGCAGCACTGCCCCCAGGCATGTATTAATTAATCTCCCCAAGTTGATTTCATCCGCTAATTTGATGAGAGTGTGCTCTGTTCTCCTTCAGGTCATTGCTAAGATAGAAAGCACAACTCATTTTCTTGAGTGGGTTTCAAGACACAGCCAAAGGCCAGCCACAGCAGCTGCAACAGAAAGCAGGCCTGAAGTAAAGCTCTGTCCTCAGCAGAGTGACATCTGGAAAGGTTTGTTTCTTTTAAAGAACCCTCTCCTTTTGCTAGTGTCTAGGAAGCATGTGACCAACCAATCAGTCATTACCCTTAGAGCTAAACTATCCAACCAATATTTTACCTGTCCAGTTGTCCACCCATCCACATCATAAAATCCTAATTTGGATACCATATTTGGGGGCGGAGCAGCTCTCGCTGCTGCATCTCTGAATGTGGAAAGATAATACTTCTGTCATATAAGTCTGATTTCTGTAAGTATAGCTCCATAACTTCATCTAGTTTCCTCAAGTTTAGTTACCTCTACAATCAACTGCTGGCAAGCAGGATAGATTTCAAGTGTTCCAAGTTCCCTTAAGTGGATCTGAGCTGATTTACATGGATCTTATCTCCATATTTGTTTTATAGGACATATAAAGGACATTTCCCTTTGAATGCAAGCAGCCAAGAAACACATTTTACTCACGAATTTAAAGGACCAATCACAAAACTTGAGCAAATGAATCAGAAATCACAAATATTTGAAGCATCCAAACACTCTTTAAAAAAAAAACTCTTTCCACGGGCTTTCTTTCAGCTACTTTTTTATAAGCATAACGATGCAACTGAGTGCCCAGTTATGAAAGTATCAGAATCCCAAACTAGTAAGGATTAATTCTGACTGTTATTGGTATGAATAGTTAGCAGCTTCTCTCTGCATGGCTGAGAAACTAACTCTAATACAACAGTGGAAATACTACTTACATAAAATATTTTACTATCTTATTAAGAAAAAGGCTATATTAAATATATTCTGCTAAATTTAAAAATCTCCAACTCTCTATTTGTGTGAAACTAGCCCAGGATCCCAGGTGTATAAAATTATTATTGTGTATTTGTCATGTCACAAATATTAAATTAATTCCAGCAAACTAACCCTCATAAATCCACAAAAAGGGAAATGGGATGTGTAATAATACATTAAATTCTGTTGGAAAGGGTTCTGGTCTCTTTGTTTTGACCACCAGAAAGGAAAAAAAAAAAAGGTGTATACACCATTAATAGTAGAGAGAGTTTGGGTTACTTGGTTTAAGGCCAGGCTGGATGGGGCTTTGAGCAACCTGGTCTAATGGGAGGTGTCCCTGCCCATGGCAGGGGGGGTGGAACTAGATGATCTTCAAGGTCCCTCCAACCTAAACCATTCTATGAGTCTATGATTTTACAGAAAACTGTTTTTATGCACAGCATAGAGCAGTGATAATTGGCTCAAATTAAATAAATGGCTGGGAGAAAGCAACATTGCTGTAAAGATAAAAATATTTTCAAAATTTTTTTCTAAATGACTGATTGCCTCCCCATTTTAGTAGGAGGTCTCATAAGCATATTCCTTCATCCTTTACATGTGATGTAAGGATGTACTACTATCATACTATCAACTCAGTTCAAGTTTTACTTTACAGGAAATACGAAAATGGAGACAAGTAACAATCCAAATGCAAACATACCAAGACTAAGAACTGATGGGAACTTTGCCACTGTCTTAACAGGATGAGCATTTAACTCAGTCTGTAGTACTCACAAATCTGCATCCACACCATTATTCCCCTTGAACAATAATTTACTCCACAGGTAGCTACCAGAAAACTAATAGAACTAATTAAGTAGTAAGAGACTCGTTAACAAGTGAAGAAATAAAGAAAATCTTCCCCTGGGTAGCTTGTTTTCATTTAAAGTTTAATCTGATATGAGAGCCAAACTAAATAACTTGAGACTTAAGTGCTGCTAAGCTCCTTGCTAAAAAAATTCCAGTTGTTCAAAAGTAACAAAACCAGTATGACTGAACAGTATTTTGCCTACAACAAGAATTTTAAGCACATATATCTCCAGTCTTCTAAAAATATTAAGCTAACACACTAATCTAACAACTTTGTGAAACTAACAATATGCATATTTCCCTGGATCTGTCTGCATACAATCCACTTACAAACATAAACTCATGATCACAATTCAACATGCTAGCAATATTCTCTGTGCATGCATTACAGACAGTATGCACAGGAAAAAAACTGTAATCAATACAGTCAGACTCTATATTTAGGTCTTTATTGCATGTCACACTTTCTGAGAAAACATCCGAGTTTAAATAAATAATCACTTCTTACCAACAGAAGTCAATGAATTTGTTGAATTCCTAGTGGTACGGTTAGAATGTCTCCTATGAGGACTACGAGGCCTAGAGAGAAAAATAAACAAACAAAAATTATGGGAGCATGCCACCAAAAGAAGTTCTACTACTCTATAAAAATTTAGCATTAAAAAGAAAGCACTTATCTTTGATGAAAAAAAAAAGAAAACAAAAAGGTTTTATTGCAATTCCTCCCATCTCCAAACAACTGGAAACAGAGGAAGATTGCAGAAAGAAGGAAAATTACAGAAATTGCTCTCACAAAGGAGTTCTGACATATGGTGGTAACCTCAAATACTATGAACTTTTGATTTCTTAGAAAAACTACATTTCTTTAGTTCATTATCATGACTTAAAACTCATGTAAATATGGTACATTAAAAAAAATAAAATTAGTCCTTGTAAATTGTCAGTGCTACCTGAACTAAGTTTTACAATTGAAATAATTTCTTAGGCTGCCACATTGACACTCCCATAGAGTAATATGGGAACTTTCTAGACTGAAAGCCAGGTGATAGTCTCAAATAACTGCAGAAAATTAAATGCTGACCCAGCAAATAATGCTGCTTTTAAAGGGCTGCATTATAAGTCTGAGTCTTAAATAATCTTGAAGTTTGGAGAAGTACACTTTAAAAATACAAGCAAATTATAGAATAGTTTTATGATCAACACTTTCTGATCAGTTTTTTCCCATATTTTAAGTCTAATGGCAGGTCAATAAATTAAAAATCCCAGGTCAAGAAGTATGCTTTATCAGAAGACTGAAAATAACCTTAATTCAACTCAAAATTGAAGTTTCCAACTTCAAACAGGATTATTATTTCCATTCAACAGCTTACTTTCACATATGCTTAGCCTCAAGGTGGTATTCTTGCCCTGTCTACCTGAACAGATTCAAACATCTGCTTCAAAACTCACCGTACTATTGTATTCGAACTCGACATTTAAGTTCTTCTGTCTAGCTTAGAAACATTATCAACATTATGAATTTTCAACTAATAGCTATGTTATTTCACAAGATCAGGAATGTGGTCCTATCCCAGTTCCCAGGTACTACAGAAGTTTCTTTTGCAGCTTCACCGAAAGAGGAAGAAGGACTGAACAGATGCAAGGGAGGAGGGGAAAGAAGAGAGCTGGAAAAGAAGCCTACACTTGCTGCATCTGTTTTTTAGACAGAAAATAAAGTCCAGTAACTCAATTTTAATGCTTTTAACTCAGGACTTTAAAAGAACTGAGCACGTCTTAATTGGCTTTAGGAGAAAATTTTAAAGATGCTGGCTAAAAATACCATGATATTCTAATATCTCAGAATATTATCCTATGAAACAAAGTTAGCCCGCAATACCAGACTACCAACAATTTTTGTAAGGAATGAAACCATATAGAATAACAGTAACTTCACCAGCATCACCTTAAGTTACATAAAACAGTGATTGTTTTAAGTCAATACCGAGATAATATGCATACAACTGGAAGGTAGATTTATTCTGAAAGATATATGTAATATGCTAAACCTGTCAAAAGAAGATAAGAAGCATTTTTCAGCAGTTCATAAAATTATAAAATGCTAAGTATGAAAAATAAATAAAATACTTTCTAAAGCTATTAGTAAAAATTGCAAAGTATTTTTATGATCATAAGTTTTCCTTGGAAATTTTCTGACCTCACAAATAAGCCTTATTATAGAAACTGTCCTACATTACTAGTCCATCTTTTGCCAAAAACCTTCCTTCTTCATTAAAACATGCTTTAGTAATTTAAGGATCATCCTTGTCAGTCATCCTTGTAGTAGATGTACGATTGTAGCACACACACGTACACCACTATGTGTCTACAAAAGGATTTGACCAAGCAATTTTTTCCTCACCAGGCCATATTTTATTTGCTAGCAAAAGGAAGGACTTCAAAAGTTACAGCTTTTAGTCCAGATTATGCCAGACTTTAATGAACATTTTTGTCTCAGTTTCAAATTTGCTATTCTGAAAGATAAGAAAGTTAATGTAAATTTAAAGCATACTGAGTCAGGTTGGCAGGCTCAGTATTATATGAAACTCTACTCTTTTAGTATCAGTTACATCCCTGTCCCCCCCCACTTCCCTGCATCCAAATGCAAAAGCTATACGATCAAATTACAAATAGAGATATAGCAATAGAGATATAGCAATAATATTTTAATACAATATACATTTCAAAGCAATATTTTAGAAACACAGTTCCTGGAATTACTGGACAATTTATACATAGATTGATAATGTATTATATAGTACCTGTTAACCAGATTTTTATCAATTTCTACATCTGGCGTAACAGCATTCTCTGGAAGAACAATAGAAGGTGTACTGCATGTTGTCCCTTCAACAGTAGTGTCCTGAATGGTTTGTGACAAATATAAAAATGTAGTTAAACAGAAATTTAAAACACTGAATATTGATGCTCTATGTGGAAAATAACGTGTATTGCTCAATTTAGCTAAAAGAGAAAATGACCGAACTAAGTGTGAATTAGCTTTTATTTGAGAAAACAAACGTGAATTAGAGGTCCATACTTAAATTGCTAAAAGGACATGATCGAGACCTGGAACATCTGTTTTCTTTACAAATTTTTAATGCACACAAGCTAAATTCAATAAGCATGGAACTAATGAGAAATCTTTAAAATGGTAGACAAAATGATTTTTCACACCATTCCAGCAAACCATTCCTTTACTGAAGTACAAGTACAACACTTAGTGAACTTATGAGCTGAATGCAAGAGTGAAAAGCATCTATGTATAGCAGAGCTTAACTAGGCACACAAAATCTCCAAATGGTACTAGTGTACAACAAAAGCTTGAATAAATGCAGTATTAAGTGTACACACGCTATCCAAAACCCCAGAAAATAATTATAACGTTATTTTGTTAGTGTTCTATTTGGTTTTCCCTCCCATTAATTGGATTTTATTTTAAAATATAACTGCAATGTTTAATAAAACACAATACAATTTTTAGGTGACGAAATAAACTGGCACCTAATACCAGTGTATGCTTGCCTTCTTAACTTGTCCTGAGAACTTAATCCCACACCTTGTACCACAATGATGCCAATCAGCTGTAGAGAAGGAATCTGTTTCCTGTGAGATATCCCAAATGGAGATGCATCAAGTTGGAATAAAGAACTGTGGATTTCTCATATGTAGTCAAAAAATGATTACTTCTACCCCATGTGCTACATTCAGATTCACAATAAATAAATAAATAAATAAACCTCTGTACTGTTGAAAGGCTACACAAACAGTCTGGTGTTTTCAGTCAGTCAAGAAGTTGAAAAAAGTGATTCACAAAATCACACGGAGTGGGGAAAGCGTAGGCATCTGTTAGAAGTTGCAGTTTTTATTTTCGAGTACAATCATGAGATAAATAGAACATATCATATTTCTAGCTAGAGGGAAAGCTTCCCAAAAGTGGCAGGGGACTGTCATCAGTCAACTTCTAAAATTTAAAGAATAATTTTTTAATTCTCAATTCCTAATTGCTTCTGCTAGGCACTGGTATGTACAAGTATTTTATTTTATTTAGTTATTTGGAGTCTACAATTTTTTGTGAAACTACATCTCGAAGTTTCATAAGAAATTTCTACTTCAGTTGTCAGAGGAGAGGAGAGGAGAGGAGAGGAGAGGAGAGGAGAGGAGAGGAGAGAAGAGAAGAGAAGAGAAGAGAAGAGAAGAGAAGAGAAGAGAAGAGAAGAGAGAGATTTTCAGTTGGAAGTGACCTACAATGATCCTCTAGTCCAACTGCCTGACCAGTTCAGGGCTGACCAAAAGTTGAAGCATGTTATTAAGGACATTGTCCAAAAGCCTCCTGAACACTGACAGGCCTGGGTCACTGACCACCCCTCTAGGAAGCAACGCTTTGCAATTTGCTATCCATGACACAAAGCCAATTACATTCAACTATTATAAACATAATTTTGCTTTTACTGAAATAGCATTTGCCGTCAATTTTGCCTACTCCTTTTAAAAATGTTTACCTTCTAAAGGTTGACACAAGTGTAATGAGTTCAGAATAACATTTATTTTAGTAAAATTCATTAAATAAGCAGGCAATAAAATACTGTTATAAAAGCACTAATATAGATATTTACAGAATGAAGCATTTAATAGCTCACAGTTTAACAAGTCAACATTTTAGAACAGAGAAAATTAAATTATTTCAATTATTTGAAATTAAGGCTGTCAATGAATAATTGTTAGAGTCACCTACCGTCATGTGGAGAAATTAGTGTCATCATAAGGTTTGTTACAATAAACAAGTAGCCAAGAGTATAAATTGAAATGGAATTATATACATCCAGAAAGCTAGCAGTTACATGACGGCTAATATCTTATCAGATACAATACAACTCCTTTCAGTGGCTGCATTTTACTCTTGTGGAAATAATGTATTTTCTGATTAATTCAAAGAACTCTAGAAACAATTTGAAAGTGGTATAATATTAAAGTATATAGCATAACCCTTCTTCCTCACAAAGGCAATAAAATATGCTTTGGTTTGGATATCTGAGTTAGGATTCTTGATTCTGTTGTATACAGCAATTTTTAACTGAAATAAATACATTCCATGGAGCTCTACATGTCCATACTCATAATTCTCATATGATGTTTCTCAGCAAGTTCATATTGTCAGTCACAGAGAGCAGGATAGGAAACATGCCGAGAAAATAATACAAAGATTTAAGTTTAAGAAAAAGATCTTTGTAATATTGGAAACGTTAGAATGTAAAAGCATGATACATTGTGTGATGCAAGTGCACAACTGACATTGTATGATAATAGTTTGAAAGCAATTTTTAGTAGTATTCTTGAAAATGTTAGAAAGTGTTTTTTCTAACAGTCAATGATAAAAATTCGTGTGACTGCCCTGCCCTGCTCGTGGGGCAAAGCAGCTGAGTACCTATGTACATTGTTTATACTAATCTCATGATTGCCAAAGAGGCTTTTGAATGACATAACATCAGCCTTAAAGTCACCCAATTCCGTTTTAGGACTCTAGAACCAGCTCATTAAAAAGAAAAAAAAGAAAAGAAAGACAAAAAGGCTGTAGCCAAGGCTAGTTCAGGTCAGGTAGAATACATTAATCATGGTCAGCAGCTATAGCGGTTTGAGTTTGTATATGAGTTCTACAGAGGTGAAAACTCCTGCCTCCTAGTGTGGTACATTTGTGTAAGAGAGGGGCTGGAAGAGCTGGAGTACGAAGCCCTTCAGCCAGCCAGCTGCCCTGAATCAAAAGAAATCTTTATACTCTGAAGAGTACTCAGGTGGCTATATGCATATCATGGAAGAGAAGCATTAACAGGAAGCTTAAGCTGTCTCACAGTAGTACATATGCACAAAGACGATACAGAAGTTTTCCATCACCCTCCCCTTGCCTGCCTGTAACTGCCCTCTCCACGTCAGCTTGCAGACAAGTCTGCTCTTCAGCTATTCCCAACAGCTGCCTCATCTCCTAGTACCAGTGACTGCCTGCTACCAAGTCTTTGCTTCCTTTTTGTCCTAAGCCCTCCTGCCATAAAAATGTAGGCTGAAACTGACTCCACCTCTATGGCTCAAGTGGGACCTGACCCACATGCTTCACACGGATGATCATGTGCCGTCTGGTCTCGCGGGGAGGCTTGCACAGGGCTGAGAGGATGGCACACGCAGTTTGGTCCATAACAGAAGATCCAAGAGGCTCAGTGATACTCAGGGTGGATAGGATACGCAGAGATTCTGGCTGTTAAGCTCTACCAAGCCCTCACTAAGCGTACAGAAAATGCAGTTTTAAAAGTTTTATAATCCAGACAAATTTGGATGGATTTGAACAGCAACGGGGGGGAGGAGGAGGTAGCTAAATGAGCTACCCTGCCAGGACAGTCAGATGATAAAGCTTTACTTTATACAACCTGAATTCTTTAAAGCATTGGGAAAAAAAATAATCCTCTGCCACCTGGCCGTATTCTTAGAAATTAATTAAAGGTCTGGACTGAATTTCAGAACAGATTTGGCCTGAAACAGACACTTATGTGAAAGGCCTCAGAAAAGTTATGCCTCTCAGAGAGCAGTCTTTTGAGTGAGATGGGATTTTAAGTAAGCTTAATTTTAGATGTTTAAATGAAGTGCTGAGCTCAGAGTTTAGCAAGTAAGGTAATGAAATTCAATTGTAACTGCACCTAGTTGAAACAGCCAGGAGAACAGACACATGGGACACCTCTTTCAGAACAAAACAGATAACGTGCAGTGATTTGATAAAGGTACAATACAAATTTAAATAGGAATAATGAAAAAAAAAAAACGAATTGCAGAAGCTTGAATGATGGAGTAATCAGTGGATGAGAAATATTATGAACATCTGAGACAGACTTTTCCTCAAGAGTCACGAGAGCCAGTAAAATTGTGTTCAGGATACCGAGAGAGGAGAAAACTGGAAATAGAAATAGGGATTTTTGATTTAAAAAGAGAGAAAGATGACAGCTCACAACCAATCCTGAAAGTGTAGGGAGGTTTACAGGCCACTATAAATCTCAATATAACCGGTAAGGATGTAATTTTCTTTGTTGCAGGTAAACATTACATGTCTAGAAATTACATTTTTGATACTAAAAACCTGAAATCAGTTTTTAAGGGTATCAGTGAAAGCATATTATAATATTATATTATTCTATATGAAATACATCTAATTAAATTTAAATATGGAAATGACTAAAAATGACATCTGACTGAAGTTCTATGATTTATGGTGGGAAAAGTAGTTCTGTATAAAACGCTTCCAAAATGTTCAATACTTACTGTAACAGGACAGCAGACAAACTAAGAATTCAACTACATACTCTTAATTCAGACAACATTTCAAACAAGGGGCTGAAGTTCTTTGAATTAGGCTAACTGCCCTCACACCTGTGTTAATGGGAATTTCACATCTATTTCCCTCAGAAACACTGAGCTAATGAATACTTTGATGAACGTTGTTCAGAGTTAGTTAGAATGGTGAACATACGCTGCTGTAAGAAATACTGAAATGGGAAACCATATTTGTTTTCTCAAAATGAATTTGGGAAATATAATCCAGGTCTTCCCATCATGTAAAAGATACTTCTTTTTTGAGTAAGCAAGAAACTGCATGTGACGTAAGGTTCCTTTTCTTTTTCTTAGAATGGTTTTGTGAATGTGTGTGCATTTATGTATGCAGGGAAAACGTGGGGAAGCATCTCCTGAAACAGAATGAGGAAATTATTAGACACCAGACAGCACCCCAGATAAGATGAGATTCCAGGCTTGGAAAGTTTTGTTCAATGGCAGAAAACAAGTCCACCAGTTGTTAGTTTCTTCTGATGCCTTCTCCTCGCTTGCAAGTCCTTATCTTACAACAATACGTTATTTTACTTATTACACAGTCATGCTGTAGAAATTGGACTGCAGCAAGACCCAAAAGTGATAACAGGTAAGAACGAGATCAAATTCTCACAACATTGGCTAGTTGCAATCCTTAACTTAAGCAGGCTCATGAGCAGTGTGTTCGTTAAAACCCTCCCACTGTTACTTTGTGCCTAAAACCAACAATTTATCTAAAATGAAGCATTTTGCATAGTTAACTGATTCACGAACTATCCCATTATCCTACTTCATTTAAGACCTACCTCTAAAAGGCCTGTATCATGTATTAAAATATTATTTTTAACTTTTTCTTTAGATTAGGTGGGTTTGGAATGGAATTTTTTGAATTCTTCATTTCTCCCCTTTGACAAGCATGCTCAGGATTAGATTCATTGATGTCTGCTAGTTTTTCATACTTTTTCTCTTTGGGTATGTTTTACCCAGCAAGTCTTTTGTATTAAAATACTATTCACATGGGTGAGTTAAAAAAAAAATAATCTTCTCTTCTTAACCTAATGTATGTTCTCAGCTATCAGTCCGATGAACTTGCATCCATCTGGGGTGTTTGTCTTAAGCCAGGAAACTAACACTCAGCACAATGTGCAATTTAGATGGAATGCATGACAAATCAGTGTAGGGCTCAATGCTGACAGTATTTTCCAACAATGTTAAAGTAGCGGATGTTTTCACCTAAACTGTAGAATACAGTGTCCTCAAACTCAGTGACAGTGATACATTTTTAACTGAGGATGTGCCAGATTATAAATCTGCTTTCTTTACACCAGTTTGCATAAAACAGGATGATCTGGATAACCTGTGATTTTGTAATCACATTAAGGTACTTAAGCTAAACTAACAACTCAACACCCCCCTCACCCCCTCTCCCCCACTTTATAAGAACATAAAATTACTTTTTCTTGGTGGTATAAATTATTCAAAAGGGAGAATTATCATCTCTTATTGATTTTTTAAATTTGTCTGCAAATAAAACATGTAAAAACATGTAGATGCCAGAAATCTGAGTAGCAAAAAGATGAATATGTCTGGGGAGCACCCACCTACTCTCTGTATAGTTCCAGTATATGTTCAGCTACTACTGTGGCAATTAAAGCCCTGAGAAAGACTACAAACCAAAAAACAGATTTCCATCTTTCATACACCCATGAATTGCATAGCATCTACTATATCTGTAAAGGCAACACTAGATGTTTCAAGATTACTCTGAAGTACAAGCCTAAGTTCTTTTCTCAAAGGTTAAAGCTTTCTGTAATAACATCACAAAGGACATTTTTGGACAGCTTTGATAAAAATAGTTCAAAACAGACAGACACACAAGCCTCCAGATCAAACTGATAAACAAGTGCTTGAGCAACTTCAGCTCTTATTCCTTAGTCTATAAAATATCTGAAGAATCCTAAGAATATCAACTGAAAGAACATTCATAGCTTCATCAATTAATCAAAAACCACTAATACATAATAACGTCTAGATGTTATTTTATAAACTCCTAAATATACACAAACAGGTTTCAGCCTCAGGTTTCTAACAAATGTCAGAAAACAGTTTTGTAAGAGTGCTTACTTTGGCCGGAGGAGAACTGTTGTGTTGTGCCTCTTTTGATTGTCCCTTGTCTTCAGGTAAGGTTGGCATGGTGGACAGTGTGAAGCACGAGGAACTGCAATGTGGACTAACAGGACCATGCACTGCTGAGAATATCTGTTTCAAGTTAGCCTGAAGGCATAAGCGGTGAGAGGCCTTGTGATCTGCAGGCTGTGTTAGATGCCAAAAACACAAGTCAAATCCACTTAAAACTCTATGCTTTAACACTGAGATCACTTTAAAATAACAAACAGTATTAAGGTTTAAAATTAAAAATGCTATCTTGTGTTTTATTAACTAAAGCTTTCAAGATCAAGTATAACTTAGTAAATGCATTCAAAATGAACAACCTTCCATTCTTGTTGCTCTTTCCACCACTCCTCCCATTTTACAGATTTTTTTTTTTTGTTACTATGACTGTTTTGGCTGTGACCAAACTACTCTCTCTAAAAATCCTCTAAGCAGGAAACAGCATTCTGGATATCCGTAATGTGCCTTTTAGTAACTAACAAAGTCCTAATGCTACAGAGCCTGATCTCAGATCCCAAAGAAAGGAATAAAACTGGAAACCCAGATGGTAGCACTCTTCCTTTGAGCAAAAGCAAGGTCTAGGTGAATTGTGCAAAGACTCGCTGTCCATCTGCACAAGACAACACTGTGCAAGACACTTCTGAATCAAAGTAGCAGTAATGCCCAAATGGAAAAAAAAAATAAAAATCCCTGCCTATTAGCTGAGAAAATTCTTGTTATTAGTATCAACTGGAGCAACTGCCTTCACAACAATATTGTTAGCATTAAAGCCTGTACAGTAGTCTGAAGATGAGAAATATCAAGTACCAATCCTTATAGCGACAGTGTATGTATTACAAGACTTAGTATGACACCTACCGGATAGTTAAGGAACAGTCCTCATAAATAAATTATTCGACTCCTTGGTGGTGCCTACAGATGACAGACAATGCAGTTATCAGAGACAATCTGGTACAGTTTCTGTCTGGACTAGTAAGAGCGAACTATATTCCCTTTATAGTTAATTCACAGCTGTGTATAGCATGGAGCTATACGCTCAAACAGTAATATAACAACTTCACTAGTGTGCCAAGGAGAGAAATATACCCAACAAGCATAGGTTCAACCTCCAAAACATGTTATCTTCTCCCACACCTGAATTACTAATCTCATCTCAATTCTTTTACTCTTCTGGAAATCAAGATGGCTGGAACAAAGAGGTTGAGATGGGGAGATGACTTGAAGTTCAAGGCACTTAGCAGCATTGTAAGATTAACCTTCTACAGATTTCCTTTCTGTTTCAGGGAAGGGCAAAGAAATGTATTCAGGAATATGCTGGTTTATTGAGGCTAACAATTAAAATTGTCAAAATACTAGTGTTGATTAAAAAAAAAAAAGAGACAAAACCATTCACAGGAAATACTGAAGCAGCCTCAATAGTGACAAGTTCCTCACCTCAGCTTTCACAGAAAAAAATCTGTGTTGTAAAACCTACAAAATGTGTGAAAACTTTGGACTACAGAAGCAGCTAAGACCCATGCTTTTATTAGATTTATTTCACATTATATTGGAAACTTGATTTTCTTTTTTACTAGAAGATGAATAGAAAGCCACCTCACACAAAATTTAATGCAGAACTAATAGATTGTAAAAATGATCTCTATATAAGTATTAATGTGTTCAGAAAAAAACAGTTATTTCACTGAAGTTCTTTGATAAGACTGTGGAAAATATGCAGCATATATGGCATCATTATGAAGACCAAGATAAAGACTTTTTTGAACAGTGAGCATATTTTTTCTCAGAACAGTATATACCATAGAAACAGCATGTTTCAAGATTTTGTAGACATTTTGAACCTGTTACAGGTGAATTTCTAGCCCTAACAGAATAAGTAAAAGCTCACATTTGTATCATGATTTTACACACCTCTGACTTCAAATAAGAGTAGAGGAAGCTTTCTATGATTAAAAAGAAGATTTAAAAATGCTTATTAAGGCAAAATACCTTTAAAGTCCCTAATATGATGGAAAACAGACATTTATGATTACATACATTTTAATAAACCCACAGAGAGTAGGCAGACAGCAGCAGCATTAATCATCTGTGTGTTTCAATAGTTAAGTATTTTTGTATCAAACAGTCACCAACTATTAACAACACATGAAGACATGATAGAAGTGAGGTAACTAAAAAAAGTGACATGGATTTGCTTTTCATCTCTGTAACAAAATCCTGGCATCCTACGTGGTTTCTGAGTTTGCAAGAACTCAAATTCAAACAAAACCGAAAAGATATAAATTTGGCTGTTTATCTAATCCCTCTTAGTGTTTGCCTTATGAATTTATAATGGTTCCAATAAGCTCAACTCAACAGAATGCCGGGCCTGAAAAATCAGGAATGTTTCAAGTCATGGCCAAAGTGTATTTGCAGTCCTACATGGAGTTGTATACGCTATTGCATCAAAGTGGTTTATTACTGGTCTTAGCTGAATTCCTAGTACATACTAAACTTAAAAAAGTAAGGCAAGTCATATTGAAACAGGAAAGAGCTATTAAGCACATCAACTTTCAGTTCATTTTTCAGATTTAAAAAGAAAAAAAAACTTTAAAAGAAAAAAAAATATATCAGCAGGCTTGTCTAAGAATAGAAAGGGACAAATCCCGAGCTGTGTTGTCTTAGAGATGCAGCACAGAAAGTACTGCCAAGGGAGAACGGAGGGTAGAAAGATGAATTTACGCCACCTTAACAACCCCCAGATTTGGAGTGGACTGAGTTCAGCCCGTCTCTGACACAATTAGAACCTTACTCTGACTTCCTTACAGAGCTATCTTGCAAATAGGAAAATGCTCCAAGTCTGTGGTGCTGATCAGTAGGAAAATTTCTTCTTCTGACTTTCCATTTTTTCCTAGTATCTCTCCAGAAAACCCCAATGCCGAGGACTGTATTGGAGCAGCAAAAGCTTGCAAATAATTATTCATCTTCTGAGGCTTCTTAAAACACATACAGTCTTTACACACCTTGACTGCACGGCTGTAGTTCTCTAAGGTGCCAAAGTACGGGCTACGACTTATTGGTATTTCAACAAAATATATAAGGACAATTCATAAGCTTTATGATTTAGAACTGCTGAATGATTATTTTTTCAATCTAAAAGCTTACTTTTAACCTGTACAATGTTCTTAAAATCAGATCCTTTAAGGATTTTATGATGTTTAATCAGCACAAACATTACATCTTGTAATTGCAAATGGATATAACCAATGGAGCCACCTTCTTGCTCCATGCTGTGCAAGGAGTTCTGTCATTTTCTGAATCAATTATTGCCTTCTTCCATTAGTAGGAAAGGCAAAGGTTTAGAAATGCTGGAACCTTAAGATACTGGTGAATAAGTGTTCTTCCATCACTGCTGAAGTGACCTTATGCCTATTAGATTGGGCAACCAAAATAGCCCCAGTAAATGCCAGTGAGAGTCAAAACATATAGAAAAAGGGGGCTTCATGAGCACACTCTAACAAGAATTAGAGGAGCTTCTCTGCATCTCACAAATGTAGGAAGAAAAGAAACGTCCTTGGAAAATTTATTTCCCTGGAAGTTACACTTTTTTCTTCTTCAGTAGAGCATTGGGGAGGAATACAGCCCGGAACCTACAGAAATTTGTACCTTTATCTACAAAACCAGCTTACAGCCTTACTGAACCCTGATGCCAAGTGCAGAGAGCATGACTATTCTAGTTCTAAGCCTGGCTCATCTACCAGCTAAACAGCCTTTGAAATCTTGCTGTCATTAGCTTTGTCAGCTTTATCTCCTTTCCACAAGCATAAACATGTTTCAGTCAAAGAAGGAAAGGATATGTTAACAATACATGCAATATAGTGAGATACAAACTGAAAAAACTGTAATTAATGTCCCTGAAGATACTGACAGGATAGATTAAAAAAATGCATTTGCACTCTAAAAACAGTCAAGGTGCATAAGCATATGTTAGCATCCTAGGCACTAAGACAATGTCTAGATTCTGTTATTTCTTTTGTTAGGCATTTATCAAATGCTGTCTGGCCTACCTCTATCCTATAAAGGATGTCATGAGATTATTGTAGTGTTTTATCAGAGCAAGTGATCCCCCCCCCAAATTCCAGTATTTTAGAAATTGCAAGAGCTTCAAAATTACCTTTGAAAATTAATTACTTGTAGAGATTAACTCACATGTCACAAGAAGAGTGGATATGGGCGAAGATCTACAATCTTAGTCTGCATGAACATTTTGCACCTACAAAATTAGTTTTAAAAACCCCACAAATCCTGTTCACCAGTTTCTGCTTATTTCCACACTAAAATGAAACAACATAAAGAAAAAAAGTAAGAAAAAGAAAGAAAGAAGAGAGGATGGAGTGCTTTTAATGTTTTGGTCTGTTATTGTAAACTTACTGCTTAAAATAGGAAAAAAATGATCCCCTGAGCTCAAATTTGTAGTCAGATAGAGATCAGTGAATGCAGGGAACTTTCTTTTACCACTGTGTAGGCTTAGAGTACAATCTCCAGGAAATGGTGATCTGGGAGCTCTATTCCATAAAAGGGAAAAGTATTTAGAGGCTCTTTGCTTTCAGTGTGTTCTCTCTGCAACTCATTTTACCATAGTAGAGAAAGCTAAGTATAATCAGTTAACTTACCCTCTCTGAGTCACGGCTGAGTACTGTTTTAGCGAAGGCTTAGATAAAGGTGCTTTACTCCATCTCCACTGATAGCTTGGCAGTTGACCTCAAATGCTCTGTCACGTCACAACAAGGATATTAAAAAAAAAAAAAAAAAGCAGAAATAAGCAGTCAAGAAAGCATTTTATTAATATTTCTTGACCTCATACTACCCACGGTCAAGCCAAGCAACTCTCATTTGTCAACAATGGGAATTGCACACTCATGAGCACAGTTGAACTGCATAATTCTGAGCTGCTTTTTGTAACTCTTTTCTTTGTTGTCCTGCAAAGTGATTGTAAAACATTGCCATATTAGAAAGGTATCTTTTTGCATGCCTTCTATATAGCTCTAAAACCGTATGGAATTCATGTAGCATTTTGAATTA